AAGAATCTTGGTCGATGAAAGGTGTGTTCTTGAGGGGATTTGGGATTGAGCTGATTCAGGTGGCGATAAGCGAGGGATTAGAAAAGGGGGTTTTTCATGATTTCTTGAATACGTTGATGGGTTTCTGAGTAGGAGGTGAGAGGCGACTGTTCTTCTCGGAGGTTTCATGACTGTTCATTACAACAACAGACATGCGAATGCGATGGATTGGTGAATTTTGGACATTTTTCTCAGATTTTTTTTGTTTGATAGATTCGGGAATCAAGGTTCCGCTGAAGACTTGTGGGTAGGAAATGGGATTTCAAATTTCTGTTACCCAAAAAACCGAATGAATAGCCGCAATATAAATTTTTAGTTCCGCTATCGGTTATCTATCTACTTCAAAAGTTTTAAGTTATTTTGATTTGATTTTTAGTCTTTATTTCTAAAAAAACTGAAATAATCGAACTTTATAACTATTTATATATATTTATTATTTTCAGCTAAAATATTATAAAATTTTGGTGGGGGGTTTTTGCCCGGTCTAGACAACGCCTGCATAAGATAAGTCGAATCTTCGCCTCCATAAGAGCTACTAGCGAGCTGGTCCGACACATCAACATTGATTTCACCAATGTGTTGTTTTTTCAAGCTCTTAGAGGGAGCACCAGAACTTAACCTTTTGTGGTGGGTCCACTTATGGGAAGGCAGAGGAGCCGTAGGCTTCGAAGTGGGCTTGAGAGGCCCGAGCTCGCTAGTAGTCCCGTGAGATCGAGCCCCGGAGGACGATTGGGGACCTTTCCCCTTACTGGATGCAGAGGGGCGTTTTCCCAAATTGCTCGACGAGGTCGACCTCATTGATTTCAACAGATCCGCGGCAAGAAGCACACAATATATAAGTTAGTAAAACATAATCGTAAAAAGAAATAATAAGTGCGAAGTAAGCAGCCTACCAAGCTCGGTACTTGACAATCAAGGATAGGGCCCTTTGGTGAGGCCATTATGGAAAAGAAGGTTTTCATTATCAACTATTAGAGTAGAGTTAATAGTATACTCGTTCCAACTTTCGATTAAGAGGTCGAAAGCATGATTGCATTTGGGACGGCGTACATAAGGAGACTTTTTGGTTATCCATTCAGATCGAAATGCGAAAGGGGTTGAAGGTCGAACATAGAAAGATTGAGTTTTTGATCTAGGGCTATTGCTTGCAAAGTTCCCTATGAATTCAACTCCACTTCGAGCGACCACATAAAGAGTCCGTCCTTGCATCTTAGCTTCAAAACAATACTTGAAAAACTTGGTATCGAGGAAGCCTAACCGACAATGGCAAATTATGGTAAAAAAAAAAAAACAACGTTTTCTATTGCATTTATTGAAAGTTGATTTATTGGAAGGTCATGCACAACACACAAGTTTAACGAATCCTTGCCGAGAGAGAATCTAAGTCCGACAATAATTTGGTCCTAGAAAAAAGTGTAGCAACCAACATGAGGTTGTTTGTACACATCAAGAGGTCGAGGGGGTGACGAAATGCCAATCCTCAGGCAAACCACTCAAAACTTAAAAATGCTCGAGCCATGGGTCATTGGTGTCGAGGAAGGTGCTGGGCATGCGAGCTACAGTCACCATGTTTTGTGGGATATTAAGGGTAGAACCTTCGATTGGTCTACCCATTGGGATAACAGATGGCAGAGGAGATCTAGGAGGCGAAGAATTGGTATCCTCGTCGGATTCATCCATCACTTGGAGAGGTCGACGAGGTAGAGGTTTTCGGTGATTACTGGTCGTAGGAGGGGAAAAAAGATGAAAGGAACGAGAATTGGTCGAGGAAGATGAGAGAGAGGTCATATCCCTATCGATGGAGCCGACATCGGGGGTCAGTGGTCTCGATAATGAGGGGTCACGTGCCGATTGGACGAGCGTCAGAAATGATGCATGAAAGTGACAGTAATTCAAAATTTGAATTTTGAATTCAAATGAGAGTATGTAGGTTGTAAAACACATCAACAATCAAATGCCAAAGAAGAGCCAAGATTAATGTTGCAAGTCAAACAGTCTTGGGGATCGTAACTATCTACTCTTGGATCGAGCTACTAAAATAACTCGACCAAAGTTGGGGGGAGTGGCAGACTAGATGATATCCAATAGCACTAACAGGTCGACTAGACCAGTAAAACAACCAAACCGAACCCATCATCATGTCGAGCAGAGAATAAAGACTCCTCGGGTTGAAAGACCTTCAGGTAGAAAAAGACATCAATGGCCTGAAGGATACCAACAGGTCGAATAAAAGCCCTCGGAGGGCCTGGTGGAAGCTCGACTAGTAAGAAGAGCAGGTCGAAGGATCGAACAAGTAAGTGGGACAACAGAGCTCAACACCAATGACATTCCACCTCGAGGTAATTGAGGTCGAATGCGTGATTAAACCGTCTGAACAAGAAGACTAAAGGAT